AGTTCTCAGCCTCTCCTATTGGAAACCCCAAACCAGGTTTATTTTTGGGTTTGGGGGTGGTTCTGGTTTAGTTTGTTTGGGTTTTTTTCCTAAACAAGCCATAGGAACTTGGACATTTAAAGACTGACCCCAGAGACCAAACACCAGGACATGAGCCAAAGGGCCCCGTTACCTTGACCGGCTTCTCAACGTCTCCATCACACAGGGACACCAAAGGCACAGTGAAGGGCTTCCAGACAGGGTCCAGGGTGTACTTGATCACCTGCAGGGTGGGAATGGAGGGAGGCTGTCACAGTGGGAATGTCTGAAGAGGGAGATTGGCACAAAGAGAGGACACATCCCCAAGAGCTACCCTGGACCAGGTTCTTGGTGGGACAGGCCAGGCAAAGCTGCAGGAAGCCCCATCTCAGCCCCCTCCTGACTCCTCAACATGGACCCTGCAGCTCTCCAGCTGCTGCTTCTCAGGCTGGAGCACACACAGATGACAATAGATTCATTTTCCACCTCTGGGGGTGGAAAGAAAACAAACCTGCTTGAGCAAACAGCTGCAGCACCTGGCAGCACGGGCAGCCCATGGCCAGAGCACAATCACCTACCCCACCAGCTCAAGGTCAGCAGCTGCTATTATGGCCTTTGCAGCCCATTCCTTGCCCCTAGTCACTGCTTATAGAGTCCCAGGCTGGTTTGGATTGGAAGGGACCTTAAAGATCATCCAGATCCAACCCCCTGCATGGGCAGGGACACCTCCCACCAGCCCAGGCTGCTCCAAGCCCCATCCAACCTGCCCTTCAACACTGCCAGGGATGGGGCAGCCACAGCTTCCCTGGGCAACCTGGGCCAGGCTCTCACCACCCTCACACCAAACAATTTCCTCCTCATGTCTCACCTCAATCTCCCTCTTCCAGTTTTCATCCCTTCCCCCTTGTCCTCTCCCTCCCTGCCCTTGTCCCAAGTCCCTCCCCAGCTTTCCTGGAGCCCCTTCAGGCACTGGAAGCTGCTCTGAGGTCTCCCTGGAGCCTTCTCTTCTCCAGGCTGAACACCCCAACTCTCCCAGCCTGGCTCCAGGGCAGAGCTGCTCCAGCCCAAGGATCATCTCCGGGGCCTCCTCTGGACTCTCTCCAACAGCTCCATCTCCTTCTTGTACTGGGGACCCCAGAACTGGCTCCAGCCCTGCAGGGGGTCTCAGCAGAGCCGAGGGGACAATCCTCTCCCTGGCCCTGCTGGTCACGCTAGTGACACAGCCCAGGACATGGGTGGTTTCTGGGCTGGTCATGCTGAGCTTCTCCCCCAGCCCTGCTTCCTGCCCCCAGCTGGGCTCTGACCACCAAGAAGCTGAAGCAGTGGGATGCTGGGAGAGCAACACAGCCCTGGGCACATCCAGCTCTCTTGCTTCATCTGCACAACATCTGCTGCCCCAGCTGCAGGAACAGTCACTGATGCTTCCTGACATTTCCTGAGAGGCTGCAACTGCTCAGTGGAAACCTCAGCCACCCTGGCAGCTCCAGGCACGTGCTGTGTCCATCAGCAATGTCTGCAGAGCAGGTGAAGACCCTGTTTCATGAGGGTGTTGTGCCCAAAAAGAGATCCCAGAGAATATTGGGAAAGTCAGACATGGGCAGCAGATCGACCCTCTTCTGCACAGGGTAAACATAGGGCTATTAGGGGTGGAGTGGAGGTGGAGCAGCTCAGTGAGGAACACCTTCTTCCCCTAAAGGACTGTCAGGCCCTGGCCCAGGCTGCCCAGGGTGGAGTCCCCAGCCCTGGTGGGATTTCAAAGCCCTGTAGATGTGGAGCTGAGGGACATGGGGCAGTGGTGGCCTTGGCAGGGCTGGGGGAAGAGTTGGGCTGGGTGATCTTCAAAGCTCTTTTCCAACCAAAATGATTCCATGACTTGATGAAGAGCTCCATGGCTGCTGCCAGCAAACAGCCACATGGAGCTGGAACGAGCAGCTTGTTTCACAGACAGGCTCTTGTTGAAGGCAGGAGGAAACCCTGACACCATGAGCAGCGTTTAGTGGAGAGTTTGTAAACAGCTCCCAGGGGACAGGGAGCCCACGCACCCCCAGATGCTGCCCACAGGCTGCAGCCACCAGCACGGGTGGGAGGGACCCAGCATCTCCACCGTGTGGTGCTGAGCTGGGAGCTCACACCTAAACACCAGGCAGTGACAAGGACACTAATCCTGCCCTACCAGATGCCTCCCTGATGCCACCAGAGGTGCCAGCAGCAGCCTGAGAGCTGCTGACAGAGCTGCTGGAACTGGGAACCTTGGACAACTGTGTCCTGGGCTGTGTCAGCAGCAGCGTGACCAGCAGGGCTAGGGAGGGGATTGTCCCCTCTGCTCTGCTGAGACCCCCCTGCAGGGCTGGGACCAGTTCTGGGGTCCCCAACACAGGAAGGACATGGAGCTCCCAGAAAGAGTCCAGAGGAGGCCCTGGAGATGATCTTTGGGCTGGAGCAGCTCTGCCCTGGAGCCAGGCTGCGAGAGTTGGGGTGTTGAGCCTGGAGAAGAGAAGGCTCCAGGGAGACCTTAGAGCACCTTCCAGTGCCTGAAGGGGCTCCAGGAAAGCTGGGGAGGGACTTGGGACAAGGGCAGGGAGGGAGAGGACAAGGGGGAAGGGATGAAAACTGGAAGAGGGAGATTGAGGTGAGACATGAGGAGGAAATTGTTTGGTGTGAGGGTGGTGAGAGCCTGGCCCAGGTTGCCCAGGGAAGCTGTGGCTGCCCCATCCCTGGCAGTGTTGAAGGGCAGGTTGGATGGGGCTTGGAGCAGCCTGGGCTGGTGGGAGGTGTCCCTGCCCATGGGGGGTGGGACTGGATGATCTTTAAGGTCCCTTCCCACCCAAACCAGCCTGGGACTCTATGATTTCTATGTAATCAGCCTCCAAATACAGAGACGGTCACCTGGCATGGGATTCATCTGAGGGCAGCAGGATACATGGGAGGCTGGTGAGGAGGAGGTTGTTGGAGAACCCATTGCTTGAAACTAAAACCTGGCAAGACCCTTCTCCAGCAAGACAGGACAGTGGAGGGACTGGGCAGCAACCCAGGGGCAAATTCAGGATAGACATCTGTTCTCTATGAACCTGACCTGCTTCTAGAGACCCCAGCTAGTGCTGGGGCACAGCCACATTCCCAGTTCCCATGTCTCTCCCAGCAGGAAGGACTGGCAGTTACTCCAGATCTCCATGTCTCAGAACTAGGTCTGGGTGAGTCAAAGCCCAGCTGCCCACACTCAGCCAGGAGGAAACAACCAAACAAGGTCCCACCTGCCCCAACAGAAAAACCAGGGAAATATTAAGGTTGGTATGAACTAAACACAGTGGAAAAGCAGCAGAAAAGAAATGGAGCTGGGGTTACAAGGACAGCCCATGTGGGCAGGACAGGACACAGGGTGTGACACACTGTGCAGGTGGGTGTGAGCAGGGAGGGAACCCTCATGGACCTTCTCCTCACTGGAGAAACTCAACGTAGGAGGGACTTGGAAATCAACACCACCCTCTCCTGTGTCAGCTCACCTCAGTGATTTGCTGAGGTGGGACAACGGGTTCATGAACTTGATAAGAGAAGGAGAAGGGGGTGAAGGGGTGGGAGAAAGAGGGGTGAGATGAGGGGGGCTGGAACCCTCCTCCTCCAACACAGAGGCTGCCATGAGCTCCTCCTGCAGTGACCACCCCTCCTCTTCCTGCCAGCTGCCAGAAACCACAGGTGGAAAAGCAAAAAGCCTTGAAACAAGCTTTGAGGAGGGGGAAGAACATCATGGAGAAGTCCTTGTTGGCCTGGTGGTAAAGCAGAAGCCAGGCTGCTCCTCCCTGCCTGTGCCAGGCCCCACACCCATCACAGCACTGGCAGCTTGGGGACAGAACCAGGGGGGAACTCGGATGAAAATATGGCAGCAGGGATGAGTGGGGGACAGGAGGGGGGTGGCTGCTCCTCACCAAATCCCCTGGGCTCTGCCTCCTTGGCCAGGGCTCTGGCTCACAGAATCACAGAATCCTAGGGGTTGGAAGGGACCTGGAAAGATCATCTAGTCCAACCCCCTGCCAGGGCAGGGGCACCCAGAGCATATCACACAGGATGTGTGCCCCGGGGGGTTGGAATGTCTCCAGAGAAGGAGACTCCACAGCCTCTCTGGGCATGCTGCTCCACTCCATAGGAGGCCAAGCACTTGTGCACTGGTGCTGGAGGTGCCCAAGCACCCTCCCAGGGTGGCTGTGGCCCTGGCAACAGCCCTTTCAGCCTTTACCAACTACTGTTCCCTGAGCCACCACCCACGGCATCTCTCCACCACCTTCCCATCCTGCTGCTCCTGCAAGTGGAGGGACAGTGGTGCAGAGGACAGGCTGAGGTTAAGAGGGGTGAGACCACCTCTCTCTCTGCTTGGTAGATACGGTAGCGAGTAGTAGAGAAAAGATCTCAAGACCTTGCTGGCCTCAGTAAATCTTCATCTGCTGGAGTCCAGCAGCCTCAGCTGGAAGGCAGCCATGAAGTTTTGAAATCCCTGGATCCTGCCCTGCTTCACGGGGGACTGGTGAGAAAATGGCATGAAGAGGGAGAGGAGCTGAGGTAAGGATGAGGGTGTCTCAGCAGCACAGGCTGCAGTCATGCTCACCTCTGTTCTGTGGACCAGCATCCACTTCCCATCGTCACCTGGTTTGTAAAACTCCAAGAAGGGGTCTGACTTTCCAAACAAGTCCTGGGGGAGAAGAAGAGGACGGGTTACATGGGGCTCTGTGAGCAGTGACAGATGGTCCACAGGAGACCTCCTTTCCCTGGCAGTGCCAACCCCAGCGACACTCCACATCCTCAGGAGACCAACTCCAGCCTGCTGGCACCAGGCAGCACCCACGGGCAGCACCTGCCAGCCCTGCAAGGGACCTGGAAAGATCATCTAGTCCAACCCCCTGCCAGGGCAGGGGCACCCAGAGCATATCACACAGGATGTGTGCCCCGGGGGGTTGGAATGTCTCCAGAGAAGGAGACTCCACAGCCTCTCTGGGCATGCTGCTCCACTCCATAGGAGGCCAAGCACTTGTGCACTGGTGCTGGAGGTGCCCAAGCACCCTCCCAGGGTGGCTGTGGCCCTGGCAACAGCCCTTTCAGCCTTTACCAACTACTGTTCCCTGAGCCACCACCCACGGCATCTCTCCACCACCTTCCCATCCTGCTGCTCCTGCAAGTGGAGGGACAGTGGTGCAGAGGACAGGCTGAGGTTAAGAGGGGTGAGACCACCTCTCTCTCTGCTTGGTAGATACGGTAGCGAGTAGTAGAGAAAAGATCTCAAGACCTTGCTGGCCTCAGTAAATCTTCATCTGCTGGAGTCCAGCAGCCTCAGCTGGAAGGCAGCCATGAAGTTTTGAAATCCCTGGATCCTGCCCTGCTTCACGGGGGACTGGTGAGAAAATGGCATGAAGAGGGAGAGGAGCTGAGGTAAGGATGAGGGTGTCTCAGCAGCACAGGCTGCAGTCATGCTCACCTCTGTTCTGTGGACCAGCATCCACTTCCCATCGTCACCTGGTTTGTAAAACTCCAAGAAGGGGTCTGACTTTCCAAACAAGTCCTGGGGGAGAAGAAGAGGACGGGTTACATGGGGCTCTGTGAGCAGTGACAGATGGTCCACAGGAGACCTCCTTTCCCTGGCAGTGCCAACCCCAGCGACACTCCACATCCTCAGGAGACCAACTCCAGCCTGCTGGCACCAGGCAGCACCCACGGGCAGCACCTGCCAGCCCTGCCTGTCCTGCTCGGGTCAATCCCACTGATGCTCACATCCCCTTTGGGCACTGATGTGGAAGGGGAGTCACTACTGACTGGAACAGGCTGCCCAGAGAAGCTGTGGCTGCCCCATCCCTGGCAGTGCTGAAGGGCAGGTTGGATGGGGCTTGGAGCAACCTGGGCTGCTGGGAGGTGTCCCTGCCCATGCAGGGGGTGGGACTGGATGAGCTTTAAGGTCCCTTCCAACCCAGACCAGTCTGTGGGTCGATGATCTGCTGGTGGTGCTGAGCTCTCCGGGTGCAGCTGCCATGGAGAACAAGCCCAGCTGGGAAGCAGCTGGTTCTGAGCTTGGAAAAACAGCCAAAGCTTCAAAGGAAAAACAGAATTCTGAAGAGCACGAGTGTCTTGGAGGAAAAGAAAAAAAAAAACAACCAAACCCTCCTCCTACACACAGCAGTAAAGCATAAGCAGAGGAAATCTTCAAGGCACAAGCTGCCCTGGTGCTGACAGGGATCATGGAGCACCCTTGGAGATACAGGCAGCCCTGAGTCAGCCTGTGCTGCCCACCCTGCAGCAGCTCCTCAGGTCTCCCTGCCCATGGGCTGCTGCTTTAGGAGCAACAGGCACACAGCTCCCTGCTGGCTGGCAGCAGGACAGCCACCTCAGGGCACCCACAGCCCTGAGGGAGGTGGCACCACTCCAGGGCAATCCAGCACTGCTGAGCAAAACTTCCTTCCCATGCAGGAGGGCCAGGGAGGGGTTAACAAGAAACCAAGCCCCAGATATTCCCAGTGATTTACTGAGAACCAGCTCAGCTGGGAGGGAGGTGGGTACCTGGGTCTTGCAAAGAGCTGAAGGAACTTCTTAAAGGTTTGACCAGGAGCTTTTTAGGCTTCCAAGTGATGTGGTGGGGATGCAGGGGCTGCTTGTGTAGGAGGAAGCACAGACACCCCAGGAGAAGAAGCATGGTTGCCCCAGGAGAGGAAGCAAGGATGCCCCAGGAGCCCCTGCCCACAGCTAGCTCAGGAAGTGGCAGCTGGGACAGACATTGTCTCCAGTGATGCTCCAGCAGAAAACCCATTAACATTTCTATCCAAATCCTGTTTCCAAAGCCAGCTGGGAAAGCAAATCACTGCAAAGTGTTTTGGCTTGAAGAAATTCTAATCTGCTTCAGACCAAATCCTTCTGCCAGAGGAGCAGAGCGAGGGCTCCCAGGGATGCTCTCTGCTCAGATGAGGATACTTTTCTCCCAGCCCTTTTCACATGTCTGGGAGAGAGAACACCAAGCTGCTCCTTCTGCAGGGCTCCAGTTCTGGCAGAGCTCTGATCCTGCTCACCCACAGCCTGGACTTGCCACTTTGAAGCTTCACTGATGGATGAAAGAAGAACCAGCACTGGGTTTCTGACCCTGCCTGTGCTGCCAGAACCTCCAACCCAACAGGGTTTCAATCCAGTGTGGGTTGGTGGAGCCACCAGAGCAGATGACAGCTGGGAGCTCTGAGGGACATCTGCTGGAAGCTCTGAGGGACATCTGCTGCCATCCCACGTGGAGCAGCCTGGGCCACAGGGCTGCTCAGCCTCGCTCCTTTCCAGGCAGGGTGGGAGATGCCTCCAAGCCACAGGATCATGGGCTGCTATTTCAAAACATCCAAACCACAAACTTGCACCCCTACAAGCCTGGCAGGAGATGAGCAACCAAAGGAGCTGGGCAGACCAGATCAATCTGCAAACTGGTCCAAGAATATAAATCATCCCAACTGGTCCTTGCACACCACAGACAAGGAGGGTGGAGGTGACACTTCCCCAGCCACAGCTCCCCAGACCACAGCTTCCAGCACCAGCCCATTTGCTGCCCCAGCTGTGCCAAAACATCACTGCCCTCCTGCTGTCCCAGCAGCTGTTTGGCACACACAGCTCTGGAGCCAAGTTCACCAGTGCTTGTCCCAGGTGAAAACACTTCTGCAGGGTATTTTTTCTTAAAAGATGATGTGACATAAAGGACAAGGGGCCTCAGGCTGGTTCTGAGGCTGATATGCTCCAGCTGTGCAGCTTCAGCATTTAAAGCAAGGTCAGTGAGCCATGAGTGGAGAAAACATGGAAGTAGGATGGGGGGGAGGACCTCAGGATGGCAGCCTGAGGGAGGTCCTAGTCCCAGGGTGGTCGTGGCAGGAGCTGCCTGGGGCCAAGCACAGCTCCAGGCTGGGTTTGCCAGCAAGGGGTGCTTGTAGCTTCAGCTTGGCATGGGCAGAAGGATGATCCCATGGTCCCACCATGAAATCCTGTGAGATCTGGTCCCTTCTAGGTCTTTGGTAGAGCTGCCAAGCGGGTGAAAGGTTTGGAGAACAAGGCCTATGAAGAGAGGCTGAGGGAACTGGGAGGGTTTAGTTGAAAGAAGAGGAGGCTGAGGGGAGACCTCATTGATCTCCACAACTACCTGAAAGGAGGTTGTAGGGAGGGGGGAGTTGGGCTGTTCTCTCAAGTGAGTAATGACAGGACCAGAGGAAATGGCCTGAAGCTGCACCAGGGGAGGTTTAGGTTGGCTATTAGAGGGAATTTCTTTACCCAAAGCGTGGTTGGACAGTGGAACAGGCTGCCCAGGGAGGTGGTGGAGTCACCATCCCTGGAAGTGTTTAAAAGAAATACAGATGTGGTGCTGAGGGACATGATTTAAGCACTGAAGGGGTAGATGAGGTTATGGTTGGAGCATTTAGGTTATGGTTGGACTTGATGGTCTTCAAGGTCCTTTCCAACCAGGATGGTTGTTACTCTGATGGCCAAGCTGCAGGGTGCAGAAGGGTGTTTCCCCCTGGGCTGCAGCCTCAACCCTGCAAGTTTTTGCTTGGTCAATCCTCCACTGTCTTCTCTATGTTCAGAAGAGCTTTGCCCAGCTCCCACAGCTGCGTTTCATCCATGACCAATCATGACCCAAAAATCTTGTGTTTTGTCTGATTTCCTTGCTCAGGGACCACTATAATTTGCAGGAAGTGAGATGAACACCCTTTGCCCACAAGCAAGACTTTGAGTTGTGCTCTGGGAATCAGCCAGGAACCTCCCTAGCTCTTGGTGGTGGCAGGTAGTCACTGAGGAAGGACCTTTCTGCTGCTGCCTATTGATAAATAAGATGGTGACCCAGGAAGAAGAGGATTATTCACAGTCCTTATCCCAGCATAAGCAGGTAGATGATGAATTTCTGGACTTTCTCCGTGGGTCTGAAGGGCAGCAGACCCACAGGTGTCCTGTCCTAGCTGAAGATACCAAAAGAGGTCACCTTTGCATAACCTGGTAGAGGAACTTGGTTGCAAACCAGCTGAGAGAGGCAACTCCTGCCCATGCAGCAAGTGATGCCACCAGTGAAGCTGCTGAAAGAAGAAGAGGGAATTACTCCCTGGAGCTGGAAATTCTGCAGTTAAGTGCATTTACCAACAGCAATTCCAGACTTGTCCAGCCAGGTCTCAGCAGACATCTTCCAGCCCATCAATCCAAGGAAGTTATCTAGGGAGATTTAAACAGGCACACTTGGCCCCTGGCACAAGGCAGGGGGAGAAGGTGAGAAAACAGCCCTTCCCAACAGGTGGGAAAAAACACCTGGATAAACACGAATCTATTCAGTTTGGACAACGGGGCTGGACTAACCATGTCTTCTGGGTTGCATCAAAAGAAGTGTGGCCACCAGGTCAAAGGAGAGGATTCTCCCCATCTGCTCCATTCTTGGGAGACACCTCTTGGAGTGTTGTGTCCAGTTCTGGGGTCCAAAACACAAGAAGGAGGTGGAGATCCTGGAAAGAGTCCAGAGGAGGCCCCAGAGATGATCCAAGGGCTGGAGCAGCTCTGCTCTGGAGCCAGGCTGGGAGAGTTGGGGTGTTCAGTCTGGAGAAGAGAAGGCTCCAGGGAGACCTTAGAGCAGCTTCCAGGGCCTGAAGGGGCTCCAGGAAAGCTGGGGAGGGACTTGGGACAAGGGCAGGGAGGGAGAGGACAAGGGGGAAGGGATGAAAACTGGAAGAGGGAGATTTAGATTGAATACAATAAATGTTTTATGATGAGAGTGGTGAGAGCCTGGCCCAGGTTGCCCAGGGAAGCTGTGGCTGCCCCATCCCTGGCAGTGTTGAAGGGCAGGTTGGATGGGGCTTGGAGCAGCCTGGGCTGGTGGGAGGTGTCCCTGCCCATGCAGGGGGTTGGATCTGGATGATCTTTAAGGTCCCTTCCAACCCAAACCAGTCTGGGATTCCATTCTTCTGCCCCAGCAAACCCCCTCCTGGCTGCTTGCTGTAGCCTGGCTTGAAAACTGAGGGTCCTCCTGCCAAGAACACAAGCTCCAGGGAGACTAGGAAGAAGGACCAAAGAATATTCCCACTGATGGCTCAGAAACAGCTGAGAGGACTGTCTCTGGCTGCCTGGTAAATGAGGTTACTGGCTCTGTTCAGAAAGGCTCATGGTCTCCTGTGTGCCCTATCCAGAGCAAAACGCCTGCACCATCTGCCCCGTGAGGTCAACAAGGTCTCTCCTTGGAGAAGACAGGCCCTACAGTTTGATATTCCAGCAGATGTTCACTCCACTGTCAGAGGGTCTGAAGGTGACAAGCCAAGAGCTCTCAGGTTTCAAGGGGCATTAGAACTGGCAGCTCCATCAGGGTCATTTCCAAACAACGGCTGCAAATCTGCTGCCTTTAAGATGTGCCAGGACAGAGCCTGAGCCACCTCTACTCCTTCCTTCTCCATGGGTGTGATAAAGAATCACCATGACAACAGGGAAACTGAGGCATAGGCACTCCCAGCCACCAGCGGCGCTGCCAGGACTTGAACCCCTCCAGCCTCATCCTAATGCTTTCTCCAGCAGGATTATTTTTGTCACTGTTCCACTCAAAAGCAAAGTATCTTTAGATCGCTTGGCCAGAAGGACACGAGGTTGATGTTTCAGCCCCTGGACACAACTCCACCCACCTTTTTGTCCAGTTTCCTGCCGGCCATGCTGAGAGTAATCACCCTGTTATCTGAGAGCTCCTGGGCAGCTATCTGAAAGACAAGACATTCATTTTTAGCATGAAAAGGAAGTCAAGGCAGAGGCAGAGGAGACTCCAGGCTCTGAGGACACCTGCACAACTCCTGCAAAACACATCTCACAGGGAGGAGTTTGGATCATCTCGTGCACACAGTGTTTCACCTTTGAGGTTAAACTGATTTGACCTTTGCAGATTCATCTGGGACCAAAGGCTGCTTCCCAGCTTCTCCCTGGAATGGAGAAGGGTGGAGAAGAAGTCCAGGCTTCCCGTGGATGGCCACTGCCACTTACCCTGCACTGAGGTGGTGACACATCAGCCTCAAAACAAAACAGGACATGTGTCTTGAGCAGGCCACCAGCTACAAAGCTGGTGCTGCAGCTGGAGCCCCTGTGACCTCCACCAACCTCCACAGCCTCATCCTCAAGGCTGGATCCAGGTGGAACACGTCGATTTGCAGTGCTGGGAGTCACTATGTACCATTAATCCTCTTGAATGGACAACCTGAAGGGAGGATGAGGAGCCAGGACAGCCCGAGCAGCTTCCTCCCATCCCTGTGCCATCAGATCTAAAATGAAGCTTCTGGGAACAAACTCATCCCCTTTCTTGGGTGTCACACCTGAGGTGGGCTCAGGTGGCTTTTCACACACTGGGACCTGCTAAAGCCTCCATGGACCAAGCCAGGAGGAAGAAGGAGCCATAAAAAGCCTTGCCAGCCAGATGTGCCACCTTGTCCTACGTGTCCCAGGAATGGCACAGACCCAATGTCCCATCTCTTGGGGCAGATGCAGAGCCACGTCTACACCATCACCTGATGAGATGGCCCCAAGGATGGGGCTCCTGAGCAGCCTGGATTACTTCAGCTACCTCAGTTAAGAGACTTTATTCACACAGGCTCCAGAAGGGCTCCTGCTGCCAGGAACCAGTGGGCTGGTTTTGTCTGGATTGTGGTCTGATCAGTCTCTTGGTATTTGAAGAAAGGGAATGTTTGCAACAAAAAGGCACATTTATTCACTTCTATTACCAGCCCTTTTCTGAATCACTTGTATGTTTTTCCTCAAGGCTGTGTCCTGCCCAAGTATCTTCTCCCCACCTCTCCCTGCTCCACTCCCCAGGGCAGGATCCAGCACTGGCACACCCAGGAGCACAGCATGGACATTGTCCCCACATATGGTGCTCCTAAGCCTGGCCAGCTGCCTGTCCATTGCTGGAGCTCCCCACAACAAGGCTTTTAGGGAAATGGGCAGAAAGCAAGGGAATCATAGAATCATTAAGGTTGGAAGGGACTTAAAGATCATCTAGTTCCAACCCCCCTGCTATGAGCGGGAACCCCACCACTAGACCAGGTTGCACAAAACCTCCTCCAACCTGGCCTTAAAATCCTCCGGGGATGGGACATCAACAGCCTCCCTGGGCAACCCATTCCAGTTCCTCACCACCCTTAGGGTGAAGAATGTCTTCCTAATATCTCACCTAAATCTCCCCTCTCTCAGTTTGAAACCATTGCCCCTTGTCCTATCACTATCACCTTCTGCAAAGCCCCAGCACTGGGGCTCTGCTCCCTGCTCCTCGGGGAGCACGTCTGCCCACCAACAGCAGCATGAGGAAGAGGAGGTGGAGGGAGGAAGAGGAAACTTGCCCTTTGTTGATATTCACAAAAGCACATGCTGTTGGTGACTAGAGTTTTAGAGCTACGGAAAAGCCAGAACGTGCAGACAAGGCAGGGATGTCCTTGTGCCACTGCTGGTGGCATCTCCTCATGGACACTAACAACACCCCTGTGCTGTGCCCAGCAGAGGTGTGTGGCAAGATCTCAGGATTGATTTCTACAAACACGGGGGCTCACTCTGGGGTTTTCTCCACCTCTTCAAACCTAGGGACCCCCATGTCATCCCATTCAGCCAACCAAGGCTCTTCTGCCACATCCACCCCTCTGGCATCTCAGGTAAGAAAAGGGATACTTGGGTAAAATTGAAGGGGAGGGGCTGAGGAAGGCAGGGTTTGGCTCCCAGCTCCATGTGTTTTATCAGTGAGCACAGAGCAGAAGCCTGCTCCTTGGCTGGTGTCCACAGCCTGTGCTGCAGGGCCATGCCAAGCAGTGAGGGGAGCTGCCCACCACACTGGCCCTGTTGGCATCACCACCCCAGGGCCAGAACAAAAAAAATGGCATCAATGAAGCAGACATCTCAGCTCCTTTGATTTTTCATGACACATCAGTGACAGACTTGGACCTCCCCTTTTTTAAAAACATACAGCCTTTGAACGTGACTGGAGATTTTTCATCTGGTCCAGCTCTTCCTGCTCCAATGCTGGCCATGGTGAGGGCAGCACAGGGCATCAGGCACCACTTGTGAACTTCACCGCAGCTTTTTGTCTTGCTTTGAAAGAGGAGCTGCAGCAATTAAGAGCAAAAAGCTGGCAGCATCTTCCCAGCTTCCAGAGCACACAGTGGTGGAGTTGTCCTGGGCTTTGAGACCTTTCCAAGTGCTTTTAAACCTGATGGAAGCTTAACCCCTTGGCAGCTTTTCCTCCACCCCTTTGCTGCCTGGCTGCACATCGTGCAAAACCCAGAGGCTTCCAAAGGGATGGGAGATGTGACAGGAAGGAAAAGCACCTCAATTTAGTCTTTTCTGTGTAAAAAAATCCAGTCACTGAAGTGATCCTCAGCGGGAAGGCTGCTGCCCAGAGGGGTCTGCATCAGGAGCAGCAGCTGTTGCTATGGGAGTTGTTGCTATGGATCAGCTCCCGCCCGCTTCCCGCAAACCAAATCATCCCTCGTGGCACAGGGACCAGCCCTCCTGCCTCTTGCTGCTGGGGGGGGGGGCTGAGCAGGCATCTCAAACCCATTAACAAACAGCAGAACCACAGATTTCTTTTGTACTTCTCTAGCTTCAGATTTTTTCTTATTTCAGAAACCAAAGCAGAGGTTGAAGACTCCCAGGGCTGGGCACTGGGCATGATGGGCCCTGCCCTAAAGAAACCATCTGCCAGACAAACCAGAGTGGGCAAGAAAATCAGAGATAAAGGGAAAAATGCTCAAGAGATAAAGCCCCCAGGTTATTGTCCACCTTTCCATGCTCAGGAGGTGAAGGTAAAGGAGTGACTGTACCGTTATCATCCCTTTCCCGGCTGGCTTCCCATTCCCCAGGAGGAGGGTCCTGGTGATTTTCTTGCTGGACACAATCTAGAAAAGCCAAAGGAAATGAAATCGTGACTGTACAAGTGATAAGGAGCAGACTGATGAGCAACTGATCATTGCTCATGGTAGAAGACAAACATCATGAGGGATGATGGTGACACTGAATGTCACCCCTGTCACCCGAGCCTGGGGGGCAGGGCAGCACCAGCAGTGACAGTGCCAGGTGAAGCATCAGCTCTTGGTGTGGAGCTGGTCAGTGGGACCTTACACAGCTGAAGGTCTGTGATTTCTCCCCAGCAAAAGCACAACTCAACCTTTCAGATCCCTTTTGAAACACCTCTAACACAACCCCCCAGCAGCTTGCTCCCAGGCCACGTCTCCATGGACAAATCTGATTACAAGCTGCATGATGTTCCCCAGCATCGTCCTGGACCCCCTGCAAACCTGCTGCTGAGCAAGGCACAGGGGTCAGCATCCCCAGGGCATGTCCCCCCTTCACTTCTGGCTTGTAAGAGGCAGGACAGGACAATCTGGGAGTTGAACTACACCCCTTGAGGCTCTTCCCAGCTCACTGAGTTTCAGTCACATTCAGACCTGACCTGGGGATCCCATAAGTTTTCCCCACAAAGTGCAGATGCCCACACTTGGGGTCCAGTGACCTGCTGGAAGTAGCTGTGCTCTCCTCCCTTGGAGGGTGGGAGGTTCAAAACTGCAGTCCCATCCCTCCTTCTGTCTCCACCTTTGGCCTCACATCACATGGTCAGAAAATAATAATAACCATCTAAAAACTCACATCATGTAACGGCTTCACTTGTTGCACCTGCCATCCAGGTCACCCAGCCATGCTTGGGTTCCTCCCACTGTCCCCCAGAAATGTTCTCCTCTCTCCAGAGAAACCTTCTTGGGGCCTTTCAATACTTAAAAGGACAATAAGAAAGATGGGGACAGACTTCTCAGCAGGGTCTGTAGCAATAGTGATGGTTTGCAACTCAAAGAGGGAAGGGTCAGACAAGATGTTAGGAAGACAATTTTACAATAAGGCTGGTGAGACACTGAGCCAGGTTGCCCAGAGAGGTGGGAGATACCCCATCCCTGGAATAATTCAAGATCAGGTTGGATGGGGCCCTAAGCAACCTGCTCTGGTTGAAGGTGTCCCTGCTCACTGCAGGGGGTTGGACTGGATGGGCCTGTTAAGGTCCCTTCCCACCCAAACTGTTCCATGGTGGCCTGTCCAGGCTCATGCTCGGAATTCATCACCTTTCAAAGCACCAGGAAGGGTTGGGCTCCTCTTTGAGACCCAAGAAGCAGGAGGAGATAGGTCAGATTCTTCCACCTTCCTCCCCAGTGCCCACAGATAATGTTCTTCTCTGTCATGAGCCTGCAGAGCCCTGGGTTTCTGCAGAGGCCTGGACTTAGGGACAGTAAGATTTCAGCTCTGGGTCCTCGTGTCCATAAATTCTCTGCCTGCAGCTTCCACCTAGACTGTGACCTTCACAACAAGTGTTGCTGAACTGCCCCACACCACAGGTGGCTGAGTTTCAGAAACAGAAGAAACAGTGAAGGATGGGTTTGGTCTAAACCACCCAACACTGGCCTGGGCTGCTGCCTGCACCATCCAGCATCCACCTTCACTTCTGCAGGAGCAGAATCAGGTCATCACAGAGCACTTCCCAAACGCTCAAACCTGGTAAATGTCACTGCTCTTCTAACACATCAAACCCTTGAGTTGGCAAGAGCAAGGTCCCCCATGCCCCATACCCTGTGCAGGGCCACCAGTTTGTGTAATAAAGCAACTGCATCCCCAAGGAGGATGATCCACTGGAGGCTCACCATGGGTTTTGGTGGGGGCTGGCTGGCCATGCTGACACACCAGTGTCTGTTCCCCCTGCTTCCCAGCTCCAAGCACACAGATGGTTTCTCCCAGCCCATGCCAGGTCCCACAGCAGCCCTGAGCAGCAGGATGCTGCAAAAGAATGGTAAAAATCTCCCTCATTCCCTGCCTCTGAGTCAGACCAAGCTCAGAGGACAAAGAGAGTTGCAGAACAGCTGCCAACTTCTAACAGGGTCTGGACTCATGAATGCAAACACCTCCCAAAGGCTTATAAATCATAGAACCATAGAACCATAGAGGTTAGAAGGGACCTCTGAAGATCATCAAGACCAACCCTCTGCTGCAGCAGGAACACCCAGGGCAGGTCACACAGGAACGTGTCCAGGTGGGGCTTGAAAGTCTCCAGAGAAGGAGACTCCACAGCTTCTCTGGGCAGCCTGTCCCAGGGCTCTGTCACCCCCACAGCAAGTAAGTTTCTCCTCATGTTGAGGTGGAACTTCCTGTGTTGTCACTTGGTGCCGTTTCCCCTCATCCTGTCACAGGCACCACTGAACAGACACTGGCCCATTCTTGACACCCACCCTGCAGGTATTTAAAGACATTCATCAGGTCCCCTCTTAGTCTTCTCCCCTCCAGACTACACAGCCCCAGGTCTCTCAGCCTTTCCTCATCAGGCAGGTGTTCCAGTCCCTTCATCATCCTTGTAGCCTCTGTTGGACTCTCTTCAGTAAATTCCTGTCTCTCTGGAACTGGGGAGCCAAGAACTGGACACAATACCCCAGATGAAGTCCTGAAAAGTTTTCCACAGGAAAAGCAGGAGACACATTCCTGCACCAACATGCTACAGGAAGAAAAGATTTGCTACACAACAGCAATGACAAAGCTTTCCAAAAGAAACACAAAACTGAGATGGAAAGGCAGCTGCAATGCAGCCTGGATTGAAACATCTGCAAGTTTCCCAGGCTGGTCATCAGGGCTCTTACAATAACCCACGGTGAGATCCAGGTACCTCCAAAAGCTGCAGCTGATGTCTGCACCAGCAGAAGCCCACATTGTGACTAGCCCAGACCTCAGCAAGTAGCCAGCAGCCCTAACAGGGAACAGTTCAACCTCACCAGTTGAAGTGTGACCAGCAAATTACATCAGGTTTGCCAGGAAGGTCCCAGCAAACCTTACAGTAGATACAGTAGGGACCCCCTTGTCCCTGATGGGATGTGGGGTCCCTTTCCTGGAGGACAGCAAGCTGCAGGGACCTCAGACACTCACCATGCCCAGGGTACAGGAGAATTCACCCAGGAAGTCATGCTCATACAGCTGCATGCTCGACTTGTCCTGGTCAAACAGGGCAAACTTAAGCTTCTGCACTTCTTCAAAGTGGTAGTCAACAATGAACTTCTTGGCAAAAGCTGGGTTGAGGTTGTTCACAGCTGTCTCTGTCCTGTCCAGCTGCAGAGAAAAGAACAAGAGGCATTTAGGCACCTTGCTTCTTTGTCACTGCCACATCTCTTCTCTGACTTCAGCCAGAGCCACCCAGAAACCCTGCTGTGACCCTCAGAGAGCGAGAGCACCAGGCACCCACTCAGCAGAGCTCTCCCTAAGAGCAGGAGAAATCCCTGGTGTAGAAGATGGGATCCATCTAAAGGAGTTCCAGCCCCTCCTGCAGAGCTGCATCCCTGAGGACAGGGTGGACAGGGCTGTGCAAATTCCCTTTGCCTGGGGCAGTGCTGGAGTCCCCATCCTTGGAGGGATTTCAAAGCTGTGTAGATGTGGTGCTGAGGGACACGGGTTAGTGGTGGCCTTGGCAGGGCTGGGTTAATGGTTGGACTTGATGATCGTAAAGGTCTTTTCCAACAAAAATTATTTGATGACTCTACAAGCCCATCCCACCCAACAGCCAAGGCTCATTGCAGCCAGAGCCAATTCATTTGCTTCCAGGCCCTCTTATCCAAGGAGCTGAAGCTCCCACACACCTCTGATCCTCAAGCAGACCCTCACCACTGGAATGCCAAGGACAAGCAAACAAGAAAACCTGTCACAAGCCAGAACAGCAACCCTTTGGCATTTCCCTCTAGACCTCAAACCACAATATCCACGTGGTTTCTTCTTTCTTGGGTATCCATGGAAAAAAAAAAAAAAAAGAAAAAAAAGAAGAAAAAAAACCCCAAACCACCACAGGCCATTTTTCACAGATGGCATCAAGGTTCAGGAGAAACAAGAGGCTGGAAGGACCCAGAAGACAAGACATCAAGGGACTTTGTCATCCGGAGCTATTGCAGGCTGGAAGAAATTATGTCTCCAATGGCTTGGAAGGGCAAGTGGATGGAGGGTGATGGGAACTGGAAGGTGGGTGAGGAACCTGCTGTTGGAGGGGAAGCACCACAGTGCTCTGCAGCCAAGAGCAGCCAAGAGCAGAGGAAACCTGGCAGGCAGCTGGAGTGTGGGTTTCCAACACAGCAGAGGACAGGCAGGCAGAAAGCCCTTATGCCAGCCAGAAAGAAACTATCCTGGGGCCAGCCAGGCTGGAGCTGGCAGGACACTGCCCTCTGGGAACGGGGCTTCAGTCCCAGACCGTGTAACTGTGAGGACAGGAGGGCTGGGGGGATGAAGGTGCTTCCTGGGTGGTGATTCCTTCCTTTCTTCAAAGAAAGAAAGGCAGGCAAGGACACACAGGAATCCCAAGGAAACTCATTCAGCAGAGGAGGCAGGTTCTGGAGGAAACGTGGTGGGTCTGCCAGGTACAGCAGCTATCATGGGGATCTGAGGTTGGTCACTCAGGCTGTCTGAACTGCCCAGCCCAGATTCCAGGAGCTGCTGTGAGCCCAGAGCAGCAGCTCCTGCACCATGGGGAGTCCCATCAGGGCTGCCACATGGACCTGTCCTCTGCTGCCCTCCCTGCTGGGCAGGGGCAGGAGCAGCTACCAGCTCTGTCTGATTTACAGTCATGACCACAGCACACTTTGGGTGGGCAGGGTACAGCCCAGCCAGCCCAACCCCCTGCAATCAGCAAGGACATCTTCAACCAGACCAGGTTGCTCAGAGCCCCATGCATCCTGAGCTGGAATGTTTCCAGGGAGGGGGCATCTCCCACCTCTCTGGGCAACCTGGGCCAGTGTCTCACCAGCTTCAGGGTGAAATTTTTTTTCCTTAGACTTACTCTAAATCTTCTCTCTTCCAGTTTCAAACCATCACCCGTGGTCCTATCACGATAGGCCCTGCTAAACATCTGTCCCCATCTCTCTTACTGTCCCCCTTTATTGTCCCCTTTTCAGGAGGAGACTCTCCTCCTGAAAGGCTCCAAGAAGGTCTCCTCAGAGCCTTCTCCAGGGTGAACAGCCCCAACTCTCTAAGCTGCTGAAAAGCAGCTCAAATCCCCTTTCAAGACTAGGAGACAAGCCTGTGTAGGTAACAGAGGAGGACTTTAGATAATTCCACGTCCCTACTGGGAAGCTGGGGACCAAGGGAAACCTGTTCCCTCACTCACAGGCACCAGATTGAAGGAGGTAACTTGAGGTCCCACC